GTGGGATTTATTACTGCTGGGTCCTAAATATATAGCGATGCTGCATATTAAAAATAGCCTGTAAAAGAATATTACAGGTGTAAATTCAGTGTTCATGTAACATAATATATCCTGAATTTTTGAGAGGGAAAATTAAGGTGAGGGAAAGTGGTAGTAAGATGCATTAGCTTTCTTCAGGACTGGGCTGAATCAGTATCTGAGAAATCATGGATTTCTTCTTTTTTTTTTTTTTCTTTTTTTTTTTTAAATGTGCTTGTCAAAGAGACATGAATGAAAAATTGAGTGTTTCTGATTCCGTGATGGTGCTTTCCACACCAGTCATATATTTAATAGGGACTTGGAAAAGCAAAATAAGTTGTTTAATCTGAACATTGCACTATTATGCGGTGGACACACATGAAATATACTTTCGTGTTAGCAGTTATGGATCTCTGAGTGTAGAACATTATTTATATAGTATCAAATGACTTGCTAAAGAGTGAAACACCTGAGCTACAGATGCAGTGGACTGTTATTGCAGACCTCAAGGGCTGGGGAAGGGTGAGCAGAGACTTATTAAAGTTAACTTGATTATTCAATGTATGTCTCTTTCCGCCTACCCCATAAATAGCTTGTTCAGTTGAACTTTTACTAGTGAGGTGCTTTTTGGGTTGATCATCTTTTGATGATGTTTTTAATTTGGAGAGTTGATTTAGATTACGCTAGTGAACAACACTGTTGCTGTGACCTTCTGCCATCAAGGTAGATTGTCATTGTGGATAAACTGGCAAGTTCTTCAAGGCTTATATGTGGCCAGGAGTTGGGATGTCTGTAATCATTGAATCACTGAATGCTTTGGGTTGGAAGAGACCTTTAAGGGTCATCTAGTCCAACCCCCCTGCAGTGAGCAGGAACATTTTCAGCCCAATCAGGTTGCTCAGAGCCCCATCCAGCCTGTCCTTGAGTGCTTCCAGGGATGGGGCATCTACCACCCATCTGGGCAGCCTGTTCCAGTGTTTCACTACCCTCATTGTGAAAAATGTCTTTCTTATGTATTGTCTGAATCTGCCTTCCTTTAGTTTAAAACCATTACCCCTTGTCCTGTTGCAACAGGCCTTGCTAAAAAGTCTGTCCCCATCTTTCGTATAAGCCCTCTTTAAGTACTGGAAGTCTGCTCTAAGGTCTCCCCAGAGCCTTCTCTTCTCCAGGTTGAACAACCCCAACTCTCTCAGCCTGTCCTCACAGCAGAGGTACTCCAGCCCTCTCTGATCATCTTCGTGGCCCTCCTCTGGACTCACTCCAACAGGTCCATGTCCTTCTTGTGCTGAGGACCCCAGAACTGCAGAGGGGAGTCTCACCAGTGCAGGGGCAGAATCGCCTCCCTTGACCTGCTGTCCCTGCTTCTTTTGATGCAGCCCAGGATATGGTTGGCTTTCTGGGCTGCAGTCACACATTGCTGGCTCATGTCCAGCTTTTCATCTACCAGTACCCCCAAGTCCTTCTCCACGGGGCTGTTCTCGATCACATCTTCCCTCAGCCTATATTGATACCAGGGGTTGACCTGACCCAAGTGCAGGACCTTGCACTTGAGCTTGTTGAAGCTCATGAGGTTCACACAGGCCCACTTCTCAAGCTTGTCCAGGCCCCTCTGGATGGCATCCCGTCCCTCAGGTGGGTCAACTTTACCACTCAGCTTGGTATCATCTGCAGACTTGCTGAGGGTGCATTCGATCCCGCTGTCTGTTTCATTGATGAAGATACTAAACAGTAGTGGACCCAGTATGGACCCCTGAGGGACACCACTTGTCACCGATCTCCATGTGGACATTGAGCCATTGACCACTATCCTCTGGATGTGAACAGTCCACCCATCAAATCCATATCTCTCCAGTTGAGAGAGAAGGATGTTGTGGGGGACCATGTCAAAGACGTTACAGAAGTCCAGATAGATGTCATCTGTAGCTCTTCCCTTGTCCACTGATGCAGTCACTCCATCATAGAAGGCTACTATGTTTGGCATAGGACT